ATGCAAAAAATACCAATGTAATATTTGGCATGATTTCTATTTTCCCAAATTTTTCTTTATTTTTGATTAATTAATGAATTAAGTAATTAATGTTAATAAGTTGTTGCTACATATCTATCTGTCTGTATCAAAAAGTATTCCTTCTTATTCTCTTAAATGTTTGTTGAAAAATTGATTAATTAATTGACTAGGTAGATAATTTTAGTGAGTTGAAAAAAGTTGTTAGGATAAATATAAATATAAATAGTTGTAAGTTGCACATATAAGTATTCATATTTTAGAGAATTATTTTTTTAAATCCTTAACGAACCCATTATATATAAATATACCTATTATTAAATATAATTAAGTAAGGTTTTTGTTTTAAGAAGCATAAAAAACACGAGAGAAAAATGGCTGATATGTTGTAAAAATGAACATAGGTAGAGTCTTCAAATCATAAAAATTAATGTTGTCGTGGAACTATTTTTTTGTTAGTGTGACAGTGAGTTGTTCTTTACTAACAACTTTGCGCAGTAATCCTTAAAAAAACCGAAAAAATTCTTTGTCATTTCAACTTACTGGTTTTTTTAATTATTACTTTACACCTTGTTTTACTAACCAATGTTACTAAACGAAACGATTTTTTTTAAATAATCAAAAAAATTTTATCTAATAAAGGTCTACTTTTGTTTGAAAAGGATAAGGTTTTCAAGGCTGGCGTTATCTGAAGAGCGCTTGATGGCTATTGTCTAGGATATGGTTAGCATCCTCAAGGAACGTGGCGAAGGCATAAAATCCTTCACTGAAGTTGTGCCACGTTCCCTGGAGATGCCAACCACAACAGCTGGTGAATATTGGATTAAACGACTCCATCTTTATAGGAGAATACAGCCATCGAGTGCTCTTAAGATTTCATTTGTTTAACATGCATATGTAAGTGTCGCTTTTAATTAATTTCTTTTCATTTAGATATTTTTTACACAGTACATATCAAAAACATATTCGGTATTTCTAAGGATTTTTTTTGTACTTTCGTTCTATATGTTTTTCTTTTAAATCTAACAGTGCCTGAAAAAAACTTGCATGAACGCAAATTTTTATACTTTCTTGCTCTAAGATGGATGTTTTTAATGTACATGTAATGATGCATAAAATAATAATCCATATGTTAGACAGTTGTAATATTAATAAGAAGTATGATAACTTGACAACTTTTTCGTAATTTCAAGAATATATTATATATAAATATATATACAAATATAATAAAGTATATAGTACTCTGTAATCGTTGAAACGAAAAGAAATGAAAGAGCACATCTATAGTCAAAAGAACGTAAATGAAAAAAAGAAATAATAAATTCATAGTCGATGTGTGGTAGTGAAACACAGGTGTAAGGTGGTGGTAAATCCACCGGAAACATATTAATATGAAAAAGGTGTAATATTAACCAAACATATTTTTTCACAGCTTATCCTAAACTTATAAGATGTTAGTCTCATAAAACATATAACGGAGATTATCACACGTATTTACTTTACACTCGTCTGTCTAACTTGTTCAACTTTTTTGTGTTCGTCCCTTATAAACGATTATGAATATAATTCATTGTCATAAATACATACACATAAGTATATTGTTTTTTTTATTATTCAGTAATGTACTTTAACTACGTATTTTAATAAAAACCAATAGTTAGCCGCGCATTATTTGTATTAATTTCTTTATTTTTAAATGACCTTATGCTTCATTATTCCTAGATGTAGAATTCACATAAAACGGGTAAGTTCCTAATACTTGTAATCCGGTTTTTATTATTTTTATTTAATGTATTTCTCTTCTTACCATTTACATGACATACTATACTAAATATCTACTTGTTCAGATTTCTGAGTATAAATAAAACTTTTTTAAATATATTTTGGAAAAATTGTAGAAAACAGAAGCGTAGACAATTTTTTATGAAGGAACTATTCCAGAATTCTCAAATTTATTTTGAGAAATACAGGTCTATATTTGTTATTAAATTAATAACGTAAAATATAGTAGATAAACTTTTTGCATGCACCTTGTATATGACAAAGCTTCTGGTGACCTTGGTAACTAGTCGCAGCTATCTTCAGTTCAGATTGGTTTTGCAGCTAGTTGATATTAACCTTATCTATGATCATCTATGATATTAACCTCACTTCTGTTGAAAACTACATGAATAAGATCTTATTATGGTATAAAGTGGCAGAATTATGTTATGGTTATCATGTTTATTTCGTGTCTTATTTAGTAAGTATTCTTAATTTGGTTTTCCTTACCCATTTTAATGTCAGTTGGAAGTACATGTTTATTTCTAATAAAAACTTGTGTGGCTCCCTGCATTTCTTATTCTTTAACATTTTGTCACATTATCTAATATACAGACTAAGCAATTTACATTTAACTGTAGCATTTTGCAGAAATATCACATAAACTTTGGACACTGTATGTTAGACATGGGTCATAGCTTTTAGCAGTCGTCTTGCACTGCAGAACATGACAATACCTAGCTTATAGCAGTCGTTTTCCACTCCAGAACATCACAATACCTCAAAGAAGCCTGAAAGTGCCTTTTCTTACACTTAAACCAGACAACCTGGAACTGTTTGGCAAACTTTGAGTGCACTTGCGGTTATCACAATTAGAAGGGTAAGCAACAATAAGTTTATTAATTGGTTTAAGTATATATGTAGGTATTAATCCTTTTACGATTTATTTGTAGGAATTCACAACTATGCATAGCAAATATACAGTATAAAGCATTAGAATTTGGTCTGACAAATTAACAAATTCATTTTAAATATTTTGAAAAAATATCAGCAATTACGAAAACTTCGTATATACATTGCATGAATGTACATACGAAGCTTTCCTATTAACAGTTTTATATATGCTAGTATATGTTGCATTGATATATAGGGTGTATACAATATTTTGAGAATTGTGTTATACTTTATTTAAATATTTATTTGAAAAATATAAATAATAAAAATTACTTTAAATACACTAAATCAAGAAAGCTTCTTGCCTTTTTAGATTAATGTTTGAAATTTAAACCTATTTATTCTTTAAACATGCATAGGAGTCAAAAATTAAATAGTTTCAACTTGCTAAATAAATATTCTTGGAGTAATTAAGAATGACAAAATTTAGTAAGTTTTAGGACNTTATAGGGCATGAAAAGGAAATCAATATATTTCTTATTGAAGGTATATGAATGCGGCTTAAGCTTAAGAATACAAGTTTTTAAGTTAATTTGAAGTGGTACTTTTTAGTAAAAAAAAGTGACAAACAGTCATGCTCAGTGTGTAAGTCTGTTACATGCATGTGGATATGATGTATGCTGAAACAAGGGTACCCATAGTTTGTTGCTTTAGTAATATATATATTGCTCTTTTACAATTTGCGTTTTTTTCAGTGTTGAATTATACGATTTATAAATGAAACGACTTTGATAATATCAAAAGAATACTTAAATGTCTTTATGATTATTATGAAGAAAGTTATTTACTGTGTAAGTGAAATAAGAAACTTTACTGCAGAAGACAAGCTTAACTTGCAAAATGACATTTCCGAATCTGATTAGAAATTATAGATTCGTATATCAAGGTTCACTTTTTACTTTGACGAATACCTACCTATGTTAAACGTTACTTTCTTACATGTTTGTTTTTTAACTTTTATAAGAGAGTAGTTTGGGTTGCCTACCGACACATTCAATTTCTGAGAGTTAATTTTTGTTATTTATGTGAATTTGACCATCAAAGGTGACTTTTCATTCGTACGACAGGTCCGGATTAAAATTATTTGTGAGATGTCTACTGACTACAATTAATATTTCTGGTGAAGGTTGAAATTAAGTTAAAATTTTTAATTGTAATGTTTAGGTAAAAGTCTTGAATGAATTCCAAAGATTGATAATAATAGCGCATGTTTATTTTCCCAAATTTATCTATTAAAGATTTGGATATTTTTTGAATATGCGTTGATAAATTTTCAGCTAATTTTACTCAATTACACAATAAAATTAAAATGCATGCACTGAATTTAAAATTCATCGTTTAATTGCTCAGTAGTGTTAATTGGCTCAACATAAACTAATTGTTTTAAGTGGACCCATAAAATGTCTGAAGGGTTAAGTTATAAATATTTTTTATTGAAATGTGTTTGCTTTTTTTCTACTTTAGAATGATCAATGAATTGGTAAATAAAATATTAACGTATTTTTTAAGACTGAAAATCTAAATGAAGTTTTATCTGAAGAAAGTTACTCTTTGATTTATAATTAGAATTCTAGTTTTTTTATATAACATTTCATTTTGGCCGTTTAGTTGCGAAACACCCTGTATAAATACTTAACTGTACTTGAATTTTCATTATAAATTTTCATTTATTTTCGGAAGTAATCCAATGAAAATGAATAATAAAAATTCTGTTTGAATTTAATAGTGGAAATATTTTCCTGAATTCGGATCTGCTTTGTTGAGTTGTTTATTCTTCAAACGAAATTGCTTTTACATATTGAAAGTGGAAAATTAAATGGCTTTTAACCGTAGAAGAAATAAATGTGACGAACTGTTGAAAGTATGCGGTCTGGTATCGCTGAGGGAGCGGGGTAAAGAGACTACGGTGAAAGGAACCGTTTGAATGTTTTATCTCATATCGTTATCTCTTGAGATTATTAGCTTGGCAACATGACTCATGTTGTTTGAACGATTGCTTACGAAAATAATATAAAGACTTCTTAGGTATAATTTAGAATAAATAATTAACAAATGCTAAATTGCAAGTTTTTTGTATTAATTATTTTTTAAGTTCCAATCTTGCTAATAATCCGCTAAACCATTATCTATAAATTGGAAATATAAATAGGCGTTTAACATAAATATTTTTTTCATTTAGATATTTAGTTTTATATTTTTATTTTTTCGTTATTTCAAAAGCAGGTCTTTGTTTCATTCTTAGATAATGTATATTTCTAAACATAATTTAAACCAGAATATTTATTTTTCGTCTCTAATGCTCTATTTTTAAAGTGTTCTCCATTTTTCTCGCTCTCGTATACAATTATTTCTAGAGTTGTGGTCAGGCGATAGAACTTGCAGGAAGTAAAACGTACGTAATTTCAATTTTGTAAAAGTGGGGTGGAAAGTCGTCAAGCAATCGATTAAATTACGAAATATTTGCCGCGAACCGTCGCAGAAGTCTAATATGATGCTTCTGCGTACCGTTTCTACGTCATTACCGCTTCGGGCAGTAGCATTCTTGCAAGCCTGTTAGCAGTGTCCAGTGCATAAGTGTATCTCGTTTCTGTAGTCCGCTGGTCTATGCTGTCTATAAACGAAGACGATGCCTGAAGGTATTTAGCCCTAATCCTTATTCAATTTTCATTTGATTGTGTGGAATATGTTTCTATTTCGTGATTAATAGGTTTCGATTACCGTTGCTTTGATCTTTTTTGACGTGATGTCTTCGTGTTTCAACATGGGAGTCCATCTTGGCATCTTCTCTGTCCGTTCATCTACTGTGAATTTTTATAAATTTTTAGTTTACTTGAGGTGGAATAATTAAACTTTTGTTAGAATTTTTGAATTTTTAAAACTGGTCTAGGCGATGATTGTAGATTTTTCATATTGATGTGACCATGCCTCGAAAAAATGCCTTCGTTTTATAGCCAAAATATGTAAAATATTTCTCAAAAATATTACTCTGCCTTCAAAAATTCTATATTTCTGTTAGAAAAATTTTCATTTTTGCCTTGTTATTCTAGAGTTTGGATTTTAACTTGTTTTTTTTTTTTATAATAATACANCCTTCAAAAGTTCTAAACTTCTGTTAGAAAAATTTTCATTTTTGCCTCGTTATTTTAGAGTTTGGATTTTAACTTGTTTTTTTTTTTTATATAATACAGGCTTGCTGTGATAACAACCTAGGATTGGATAGACAAACTATTTTATTTCCAAAAATGCCTCTAATGAGCTGATTGAAAAATTCAATGGACATGATATGTTAACAATGGTAATTATTATCATTAATAATAAACTAACAAAACCTAGTGAACATATAAGTAATATTAAATTGTTTCAACAGGTTTCCATTAAAACATAAAGATGAACATGAGATAAATCAAAACGAGTCGACACGTGGAGTAACAGAGCCCCACTCATACTTTCTTCTCTTGGACTTGGAAAGGGCGGTTGTATTTATGAACTGGTTTGTAAATTTTTAAATCTTGTATTTCGTTAATTTGACAATAATTACTACTAAAATTTTTTACTCTTCTGTATTGTAGTAGTAGGTAAATGATTGAGTTTGATATTCTATAATTTTATTGATAGTTATGGTTCTTAATATTTGAGATGAAAGTAACATTAAATTGTTTCAACAGGTTATCATTTAAACACGTTAAATGAACAAGGAGACAAACAAGTAAGAAGGATTCGAAACCTGGAGAAGCGAAGTCCCGTTAATGTTTTTTAGGAAAAACATGCAGTTTAATCATACTGGTGTACACAAGATTGCACATGTGACGTTGTGTCTTCTGCTCTGTGGCTCATTTCACCATCAGCGGTATTAGTATTCCTTTCAACTGCTGTCAACGCTTAGGACTCGAGCACCTTCGGTATTCGTCGAGGTAAGCAATGGTTTTACTGTACTTTATTTTCGTAGTAATTTGTCATTTCTGGCATCTATGGTTTTCCTTCTGACAGTTATCTATTATCCACAGCAACGTAGCCGTGCATCTGTGATATTTGGTATTTCTTTTAACAATTATCTATTGTCTACATCATAAATTGCCGTTGTTGCGCCTATGATTAGTTCGCAACATTTATCTATGCTATGATGTAAATTGACACTTGTCGCCATTTTACAATGCTGTCACTTTACTTGCGTTTTGATGCATGTTTTGTTGTATTTCATATCTTATTTGTGTGAGAGTGTGTAATTAATTGGTACTTTCTTTCAGGTGTTTAATGCCTTCCGTAATTAATAGTGTAATTAATACGTTTTTTTGTTAATTTCTGCAGATTGTTCAACAAATGCAAAAGAAATAAAGTTCAGTTTGGTCCTACCAATGTCTACTGGGGCGGCATCTTTCCTGGATTGTATTCTAGATTAGCTGTTTACATCTTTGCCTTGCAACATTATGAAGTTAATTTTCAACTGATGTGTGAGAGCAACTGGAGATTAATTTGAATTCCATGGAAACAACAAATTTTCTGCGATGGTATCTCTGCCGGATTTGTTTTGCTTTTTACACCTTCAAAGTTTGGAACGTTACAGTCCACAGTTAATTAAGGTGAGAATACTTGATACATTTAATTTTAATTGCTCTTTATTAATCTGTTACCACCGTATCTGTTTCAGATCGACGCTGGAGAAGACAAAGAAGATCCCGTAGTTAAAATAGTTCTNTCTCAATATCAGATGCCCCCGCAAGGCGTTCCACCCAACTATCAAACTGGTCAGCCCCCGGCATACAATAACATGCCTGTCAGCACTGGTAAATTTTATAAAACGTTTCTTTAAAAGTTATGTCTTATTTGTTGTTTCCTGTTTTTTACTAGGTGGACCCATTCAACAAAACATTCAATATTATGGTGCAGCTGTTACGATAGCGCAAGCACCTAATCTTCATCCACCGCCGGTGCCTGCGGGAGCTCCTCATATGTATCCAGTGTCGATGCCTGCCCCTGGCGGAGGCCCCGGCCCAGGTTCGGGTCCTGCACCCAACAATATGTCAGCCCAACAGCCTTCCGTCAGGCCTCCACCTCACCGTCAGACACAGCAATTCAGTCAGGCGCAGTTATATTACCTATTAGCTGCTTACAGGGTGGGCATGTTGGCTATGGAGACTTTAGCAAGGCGAGTGCACGACGATCGACCTCAGGCCAAGTATGCCAGGAACCCCCCTTACGGAGAAGATGTTAAATGGCTGTTGCGTATATCAAAACACCTGGGTGAGTCTTGGATAGAAGGGAAATTCAATGTTCATGTATTTCTAAATGTTTTCTATTGATTCAGGCACGCATTATCTTCATCAGTTCTGTATTTGTGCCGTCAACTCTATTGTAAGTCCGTTCGTGCTACACGATGTGGCGATCGAATCTGCTCAATATCTATCTCGTAATAATCCTGCCCTCGTGATGCAGCATCTTCGAACGGCACTTGCGCCCCTGGTACAGAAGTGCCAGCAGATGTACATACAGTGTATGCATCAGAAATTGTATCATCTTATGCCAAATGATTATGAGGAGTTTGTAAGCATCGTATGTTCGGCTCGTGCCGCCTTTCAAATTACGCCCGAAGGAAGCACCCAATTCAAGGAATGGCTTCAGTCTATTAGAAGGTAAGTGTTTGTCTTGGAAAATTATTGTTTAGAAAAGTTGATTTTCTATAATTCCAATATCTGATTTATGTGATCAAGGTAGAGCATGATTTGTTTTAATGTTGACCTATATATTTTAGCGATGTATTTCTATATATTTCAGATCGAAATCCTGCAAGAAAGATCTCTGGACTCAGATAAATACAGCCTTGCAGGCGAATAATAAATGACAAAGGTCGCCGCTAGTTCATCTGTTTAGTGTAAATTTTCGTAAGGATTCGAACCCTCCGCAGTCTCCACTGTCGTCCCATTCCTTCGATATCCAAAATAATTCCGAAAATCACATCGACAGCAAGTCCACTTCAGGCGCTTTCGCGCCTAGTTGTATTGTAAAGTCTCCGCCCATCGATTCCATCATCACACCGCATCATTTCCAAGACGAAAACTTATTTCACTCGTCAAATTCTTTTGTTCTACCACCTCCTCCTCCTTCTTCTTCTCGTTCTCCTTGTTCATCGCCACAACCATTACGAACACATTTTGGAACCGATACTTCTTCCCCTCTTTTTTCTTCCCGTTCTGCACCCGCTTTGCTTTCACCATCAGCGTCAGTATACGTCGATCCTAGTTCGTCTTCGTCTCGCTTTACGTCTGCTTTACTTTCTTATCGTTCTGTGCCGGTGGTCTTTCCACCACACGTCATCGAGAGGACCGATTACCTTGATCCTTCTTCTGTACCTTTAAGGTCGTATCTTGTCGTTTCTTCATTTTCCCCTCGCACAAGCCATCGTGATCCGTTTTCACCTCAAGTTGATCCCCCTACAACTGTCTCTGCTTTTCTGCCCCAACGTTACACAGAGCATTCGGTTCCCCCCCATTTATCGAACCTTTTCGACTGCAAATCTGACAGTTAGTTGATCGCTTTAATTTTTCGTTTTTCATTAATTATGCAATTGTGCTCACTAGTTGAAGGCTGTATTTCGTTTTCATTTGAGGAAGGAATATTATAAAAAATATATATCGCGCTGTATAAGTTTGCACACTCTCAGGTTTTCGCATGTTCTTCGTTTGCTCGTTGTTAGAGTGCTCTTCTTCGTTTCGACAACACGTACACTCTCACACACACGCAGATGTTGATATATATATATGTTTCGAATGTAATTTGTAATATATTTCTGCTGATTACGAACGACTTCCTTAGCAGTTTCTTGTCTTCAATTCACGATCCATCGACGATTGCGCGACTTGGTGTAAATGTGTTCAAAATAATCGAATGTATGTAATTTTATTGGTAACACTTAAATGCGTTATTTTCGTTGATTGATTTCTGAGGAGCCTGTTGTTTGATGAAGGAAATATCGATTTCTATTTCGATTTCTACTTTATAGATCTCATGAAGTAATTGAAGTAGCCTTAGATATATGTATACATATATTCCATTTTCGTTCTAACGCATTATTTAATTCTTATTGAAACATTTGTGAAATAAGTTGCCATCTTATGGTACTTTGTCTGTAATAAAAATTGTTGACATCAGCAGGCTCTTTATATTCGTAATATCGTAGATTTAGGGTTGCGTAGTTTGAAGGAGTATTTATCCTTTGAAAGGATAAGTGGAGTATATAAACGTTAAATAATTAATTACTAAAAAATGATACACACTATCTTTTAATGAAAATGCCGAAGTGTTTGTTTAGTTTCCCTTACAGATGGATTTAAAATAGGGTCTNGGTGTATACAATATTTTGAGAATTGTGTTATACTTTATTTAAATATTTATTTGAAAAATATAAATGTGGAACTATTTTTTTGTTAGTGTGACAGTGAGTTGTTCTTTACTAACAACTTTGCGCAGTAATCCTTAAAAAAACCGAAAAAATTCTTCGTCATTTCAACTTACTGGTTTTTTTAATTATTACTTTACACCTTGTTTTACTAACCAATGTTACTAAACGAAACGATTTTTTTTAAATAATCAAAAAAATTTTATCTAATAAAGGTCTACTTTTGTTTGAAAAGGATAAGGTTTTCAAGGCTGGCGTTATCTGAAGAGCGCTTGATGGCTATTGTCTAGGATATGGTTAGCATCCTCAAGGAACGTGGCGAAGGCATAAAATCCTTCACTGAAGTTGTGCCACGTTCCCTGGAGATGCCAACCACAACAGCTGGTGAATATTGGATTAAACGACTCCATCTTTATAGGAGAATACAGCCATCGAGTGCTCTTAAGATTTCATTTGTTTAACATGCATATATAAGTGTCGCTTTTAATTAATTTCTTTTCATTTAGATATTTTTTACACAGTACATATCAAAAACATATTCGGTATTTCTAAGGATTTTTTTTGTACTTTCGTTCTATATGTTTTTCTTTTAAATCTAACAGTGCCTGAAAAAAACTTGCATGAACGCAAATTTTTATACTTTCTTGCTCTAAGATGGATGTTTTTAATGTACATGTAATGATGCATAAAATAATAATCCATATGTTAGACAGTTGTAATATTAATAAGAAGTATGATAACTTGACAACTTTTTCGTAATTTCAAGAATATATTATATATAAATATATATACAAATATAATAAAGTATATAGTACTCTGTAATCGTTGAAACGAAAAGAAATGAAAGAGCACATCTATAGTCAAAAGAACGTAAATGAAAAAAAGAAATAATAAATTCATAGTCGATGTGTGGTAGTGAAACACAGGTGTAAGGTGGTGGTAAATCCACCGGAAACATATTAATATGAAAAAGGTGTAATATTAACCAAACATATTTTTTCACAGCTTATCCTAAACTTATAAGATGTTAGTCTCATAAAACATATAACGGAGATTATCACACGTATTTACTTTACACTCGTCTGTCTAACTTGTTCAACTTTTTTGTGTTCGTCCCTTATAAACGATTATGAATATAATTCATTGTCATAAATACATACACATAAGTATATTGTTTTTTTTATTATTCAGTAATGTACTTTAACTACGTATTTTAATAAAAACCAATAGTTAGCCGCGCATTATTTGTATTAATTTCTTTATTTTTAAATGACCTTATGCTTCATTATTCCTAGATGTAGAATTCACATAAAACGGGTAAGTTCCTATTACTTGTAATCCGGTTTTTATTATTTTTATTTAATCTGCAGAGCGCACTTCAGGTCCGTATCGTTGTAATTATTATCAAACTTTTGCTCGGCGACGTTCGACTTTGTTCGCGCAAACCCTTCAGCCTTGAGTAAAAAAAAAAATTAAAAATAAATTCTGTGCCTTGGACATTTACTATTAATAATTATTGTTATTAGTGACCGAAAACAAGAAACATGCGGACCTCTGTGCAAACGTAGAAAGTGTAAAAAAAAAAAATGAGGGCGAAGCGTTAATAAAGTCGAATAGTAGCGAAAAACCAGGGAAGAAATTTTCGTATGGTCTCAATTTTTTAAAAATTCTAGTAAATTGAACACAGTGGCTTGGATTGTTTTAAATGTTAATAATCTATTAAATGGTATCAATAATTAACTTTCGAGTTTTATTTTTTTAAATATTTGGTAAAATAATGTATAAATAAGAATAAAATACATGCGATGTTAAATTAAAACTATAAGAGAAACAAAAATGTATTCAGTTACAGTCGTTACATCTTTTATAAGTTTTTCCCAGCCACTGTGCAATTCTTTTTTTAATTTGTACACTGTATTGAGTAGTTAAGCACATTTATTAAGTAATTCTAAAAGATCTATAGCTATTTCGTGTAAAATGTTTTATTTTGGTACGTATAAAAGGTAGATTATTATTATTATTATATAAGTTGTAAATTGATCTTTTCAAGAGATAATTTTTTAAATATTTCACAGGTATAATTCCGAAACGATATCCCTGCTCCATAACACATTAATAGAATCTAATGGGTTACGTTAAGGTAAAACAAAACAAAAGAAAAGATAACGAACATTTACATGCAAAAAATACCNCAAAGGGAAGTCTAGTGAGCAGGGAAAAAATATTTTAGCGAAAATTATATAATTGTAAACTTTATTTAAAAATATATGGACAACACATCACACACTACAATCCACTGAGGAAAACTTGTAATTACTTCCCTTTAACACTTCCCACAACCCCAAGTTGATTGGGGTTGAGGGATGGTGTTTTAGATAAATACCAGTAATTAGAACGCAAAATCGGTTTCGAATAGCAGTGCTTTTAAGCAATCCCCAAATGCAATTTTTAAAGACTACTCCCCACCCTCCAAAGATTTGGGGTTGTGGAGAGTATTATAGGGAAGTAATTAAAACATTACTCAGTAAATTGTGGTTTGTTGTTTAATAAAGTTTATTAATTATATTAATGCAAATAGGTGATAAATAGTGTTACCAGTAAAAAATAATATTAGTTTACACATTAGGTACGAACGCACAAATTCTACGTCAAGCCTAATACGTAATGTTCCGCTTCTTCGTCTTAATAATTTTTTATGGAAGAAATTACTTAATGACTGTAAAAAATAAATTATTTGGTAATGGCAATAAATTTCTTTTTTCTATTTTTCTCTTTGCATTTTTTATATGAAAGCGCTCAGTTCAATTCCTATTTCTATATTTTTACTTTATTTATCTTGTAATATGCTAGCATTTAAAATATCATTTTACATTGTGAATACGTTAACTTGCCAAGCAAAATAGTTTAAGAGATAGATAACAACACAAAGACAAACATATGACGTACGTAAGTAAAAAAGCAGTTCAAACCACAGTTGCCCCTTTACCCCGCTCTTCTAAGAAAACAGACTTACTACTCCTTCGATTAAAAGACCGTCAACGTAAAGACAACAAGTTTGTATGAGGTGAAGCCCCGTTAATGTTTTTTAGGGAAAACATGCAGTCCAATTCACACTGGTGTACATAAGTTTGCGCAAGTGACGTTGTGTCTTCTGCTCTGTGGCTCATTTCACCATCGATGGTATTGGTATTCCTTTCAAAAGTATCTGTTGTTAGAGGCAGTTCTCTGCTGTCAACGATTACGAATAAAACTCGAGCACCTTCGGTATTCGTCGAGGTAAGCAATGGTTTTACTGTACTTTTATTTTCGTAGTAATTTGTTATCTCTGGCATCTATGGTTTTCTTTCTGACAGTTATCTATTATCCACAGCAACGTAGCCGTGCATCTATGATATTTGGTATTTCTTTTAACAATTATATATTGTCCACATCATAAATTGGAGTTGTATGCTTCTATGATTAGCTCGCAACATTTATCTATGCTATGATATAGATTGACACTTGATGCATGGTTTGTTATATTTCATATCTTATTTATGTGAGAGTGTGTAATTAATTGGTACTTTCTTTTAGGTGTTTAATGCCTTCCGTAATTAATAGTGTAATTAATACGTTTTTTTGTTCATTTCTGCAGATTGTTCAACAAATGCAAAAGAAATAAAGTTCAGTTTGGTCCAACTGAAACAACCAATGTCTAACTGCTTTTTTACTTACGTACGTCATATGTTTGTCTTTGTGTTGTTATCTATCTCTTAAACTATTTTGCTTGGCAAGTTAACGTATTCACAATGTAAAATGATATTTTAAATGCTAGCATATTACAAGATAAATAAAGTAAAAATATAGAAATAGGAATTGAACTGAGCGCTTTCATATAAAAAATGCAAAGAGAAAAATAGAAAAAAGAAATTTATTGCCATTACCAAATAATTTATTTTTTACAGTCATTAAGTAATTTCTTCCATAAAAAATTATTAAGACGAAGAAGCGGAACATTACGTATTAGGCTTGACGTAGAATTTGTGCGTTCGTACCTAATGTGTAAACTAATATTATTTTTTACTGGTAACACTATTTATCACCTATTTGCATTAATATAATTAATAAACTTTATTAAACAACAAACCACAATTTACTGAGTAATGTTTTAATTACTTCCCTATAATACTCTCCACAACCCCAAATCTTTGGAGGGTGGGGAGTAGTCTTTAAAAATTGCATTTGGGGATTGCTTAAAAGCACTGCTCTTCGAAACCGATTTTGCGTTCTAATTACTGGTATTTATCTAAAACACCATCCCTCAACCCCAATCAACTTGGGGTTGTGGGAAGTGTTAAAGGGAAGTAATTACAAGTTTTCCTCAGTGGATTGTGGTGTGTGATGTGTTGTCCATATATTTTTAAATAAAGTTTACAATTATATAATTTTCGCTAAAATATTTTTTCCCTGCTCACTAGACTTCCCTTTGACACCTCCGAAAACGTTAAATTGGTAACGGGTGGGGGATGTTTTTTTTTTAAATAATTGTCTTTTCGCGAAAAGTTCCTAATACACATTTTCAAAATTAATTAATCTTAGAAATCGAGTTACAAAATTTTGTTTTGCAAATCCGTAGAAAAAGCAATCTTTCAAGCTTTCATCCTTTTAGGGATCTAATTTTGAAAATTTCTTATTGCACTTTTATGTTGTATAAGGAACATGTTTGTAAAAATTTATGTTTCATCACAATCAGCTATAAAATCAGCTAAACGACTATTAATTGTATGTGAAAGATATGCCTATTATAAGTGATCTTATTTTAAATTGGATATTTAGTTGTTCATTTTTATTTGCTTATTGTAATTTCAAAAGAGCGAATTATGTCTCGCCCTTAAATAATTTATATTCTGTAACATAATTGAAGCTAGAAAAAAAAAGCCATAATCTTGTTTATCTCTAATGTTCTTTTCTCTCAGTTTTCACCGTCTCTCTCGCTCTTGTATTTAGTTATATTTCTGGAGTTGTGATCAGGCGATGAAGCAATAACGTACATGTTTTCAATTGGTTAAATTACGAAATATTTGCCGGGAACCGTCGCAGAAATGTAATATGATGCTTCTGCGTACCGTTTCTGCGTCATTACCGCTTCAGGCATTAGCATTCGCAAATCCTTGCAAGCCTGATAGCAGTGTTCAGTGCATGAGTGTATCTCGTTTTTGCTGTCCGTTGGTCTATGCTGTCTATAAAGGGAGACGACGCCTGAAGGTATTTAGCCCTAATCGTTATTCAATTTTCATTTGATTGTGTGGAATATGTTCCTATTTCGTGATTGATTGGTTTCGATTACCGTTGCTTTGATCTTTTTTGACGTGATGTATTCATGCTTCAACGTGGTAGTCCATCTTGGCATCTTCTCTGTCTGTTCATCTACTGTGAATTTTTATAAGTTTTTACTTTATTTGAGGTGGAATAATAAGGGTTTTGTTATAATTTTTGAATTTTCAAAACAGGTTTAGGCGATGATTGTAGATTTTTCATATCGATGTGACCACGCCTCGAAAAATTACCTTCGTCTTTTATAGCCAAAATATGTAAAATATTTCTCAAAAATATTACTCTACCTTCAAAAGTTCTAAATATCTGTTAGAAAAATTTTCATTTTTGCCTCATTATTCTACAGTTTGGATTTTAACTTTTTTTTTTATATAATATAGGCTTGCTGTGATAACAACCTAGGATTGGATGGACAAACTATTTTATTTCCAAAAATGCCTCTAAGGAGCTGATTGAAAAATTCATTGGACATAAAATGTTAACAGTGGTAATTATCATTAATAATAAAATAACAAAACCTAATGAACATATAAGTAATATTAAATTGTTTCAACAGGTTTCCATTAAAACATAAAGATGAACATGAGGAGGTAAATCAAAAGGAGTCGAAACGTGGAGAAACAGAGCCCCCCACTCATACATTCTTCTCTTGGACTTGGAAAGGACAGTTGTATTTATGAAATGGTTTGTGAATTTTTAAATCTTGTATTTCGTTAGTTTGACAATAATTACTACTACAATTTTTTACTC